GAACCTGAATTGTTTTTTAAAAGAAAATTAAATAGCCCTTTATATGATTTATTCTCCTCTGCTCCACATGCAAAAAAAGCTTATTTTTTTCCATTACAATTTACCTGGTCTCCAAGCACAAGAAAAATGCTTACAAACACTTTTTTTTCAGACTGATTGAGTTGGTATAGACCTCAGCTATCACCTTTTTATATTTGATACATATACCAGTGGTGTGCAGTCTTATTTAAGGTATTTTTCAGGACTAAAACACCAACCAGAGGTACTTCAGCTTTCATTGTAAGGAAGTGGCTCAGCCTCTAAGCTTGGTCAGTGGATGATTTATATGGGTGGGTGGGTACAAATTTTGCCCAGTGTATCACCAAAGAACAGGGCTAAGCTTAAAAACAGTCTCTGAAATGAGCTCTGTTTCTTTTGGGGTTGATTAAGCAAGACAAAATCAATTAAGATCGGAGACCTCACAGGGATCTGCAGTGAAACTGTTCCAATTACTAACACTGGAGAGCAAATTAGGAGGCAATTAAAAGGAATAGCTGTGATTTCACTGTTACTCTTGTCACTGTCGTATACATTCCATTTTAGAGTCGTTAAAAATGTATTTTGTCATTTTATTTTTTCTTTAACCTCGACATTTTTATTTAAAAAAATTGAAAATACCATTAATTTATCTGGAGATATTTCCTGAAATTAAGCTAGCTGAGGATATATGCACGTGTATATTGTTTTTGCATGTGCTTCAGGTAAATGCCTTTGGAGGAGTTGCTGCTGATACTTATTCCAAGAGCTGATTTGCATGCACAGCAGTTTTAGGAAGAAACCAACCTTTATGCACAACATATGTTTTCTTCCATAGTATTTATCAGAATGAAAAACGAGAAGAGATGAAAATCTATCATCTCCCCATCTTCTTGCCTGAAATGAGCCAATGACGTCCTGTTTTATTGGCTTATGTTTCCACAGATCACGTACAATCCATACTCGAGAGTTTACCATTATGAGGTCTTTAGTCAAGGATCTCAAGTCGCATTGCAAATATGAGTTCATTGTGCTTCGTTCATGTTTTGCCTCACAGGCAGATTAAACGGGGAATTAAGATTCAAATTACTCAGCATCACGCAGGAAATAGGAATCCTAACCTTTGCAATTTCACAAACAAATTCACCACCCTTAACTCATTGCAATTGAAAGAAAAATTCACGCTATGCAGCCTTGCGCCGTCAAGTCCAACTTTCCTCATCTGACTTTCTTCCTTAAACACCATCTGCTGTCACCAGCCATCCTGGCCCAGCCTCTGCCTTTTTCCATTCGCATTCCTAAACATTTTGGAGATCCTCCATCCTCTGTACCTTCAGTCTCAGGGCACTGCCTAATCCCAACTTGTTTAATGCTCTGGGTGCTGGCTGCCTTCCTTGGCCTTGGAGCTGCTCAGCGGTGGGAGGCTCCATGCCAGGGAGGGAACATTTCGGGTCAGTGGGAGGCAGAACCACCCCAAGCATGGGGAGGAACAAAGCCACTTTTCTTGGCTTTTACCAGTGGATGGATCCACCTCAGCCCTTCACCTGGCCCATGTTTTAACCAGAGTGGTCGCTGTGGACCAATGAATCCAAATCTCCGTGAAAGCACGGAGGCAAATCACACAGAGCTGAGTGCACATGTCCAGAGTGAGTGGTTTTTTGGCAAGCAATGCGTCTGCAGTCATACTGAATCATTGCACAAATCCATCTCATTTAGGGGCAAGGGCGAGGAGGAGTTGGTGCAGATGTGGCACCACCAAGGGCAAACAGAGGGATGATGGCAGCTCCACCTGGAGCAGGGATGTGCCAAAGGAGAGCAGGGGTGGCAGAGACCCTGTCTTAGGAAGACAGAGCTGCAGCTTGGAGCAGGAGCAAGGAAAGGACTGGAGCACTGCAAAGCATGTGTTTCAGGGAGTCAGGATGCCTCCTGCAGCTGCTCCTGGGCGCTTTGGAGGTTAATGGTCTTGTCGGTCGAACACCATGTGTCAGTCCGAGAGGTACCACCCAAGGGAAAAAAAAAAAAGCAAATTAAAAAATAAGCCTCACACCCACCAGTCTGCAATCAAATCTGCTCCGTCATGCTGAGGGACTGGTGGAGGAGAGGAGAGGAAAGGAAAGCAGCTAGCTCCAACCCTAATAATTCTGATGATTCATCGCTATGAATTAACCGAGGTCTTTGGGGACAGCAGCAACGGGATCGCACTGCTTCTTTAGGGATAATAAACACTCCTGGTAAACACTCCTTCCCCGTCCCCTAAATGCTCACCCCACGCAAATAAGGTGAGTCACAGCTCCCACCCAACAGCAGGTCCTCCTCGCACAGCCATTCCCTTCGCCTTTGTCCATACCACCCAGCATCAGCTGCTGGAAGGCACACGGGGCCTGTTTATTTGGGCAGAGATGCAGATGCACACACACACACTCGCACATATATGTGTGTAAGAAAGCCTTTTTTTTTTCCTCTTTTTTTTTTTTTTTTAAAGGAGCATGGAAAGGAGTCTTGCCAAAGAAACGACACTAAGCGGCGCGTTCCATTTTAGGTGTTGACAGTGGATAATAAATCCCGGCCCTACCTAACATTTACAGGAACATTATAAAATAAGTGAAACGGCGTGAGCTGGTTCCCAGGGCAACCAGACAAACACAATAAACAGGCCGCAGAGGCAGGAGTAAGTTACACCACACTCCTGGGTCTCAAATATATCACTTTACATTACCCTTCTGCTGTTGCTGCTCCCGAAAGCTCTTTATTTTGTTATTAGTCCAATTTTTTTTTATTTTTTTATTTTTTTTTTTTTAAAAAAGGACTTTTTTTTTAAATGAAGATCAGGGTGAAATTGATGTGTTAGTTTGGTTGCTTTTCCTCATAGGTCTTTTGCTTTATGCTAAAGCATCTGTGAAAATAATAAGGATTAATACATTTTTAGAAAGAACTGTATCCTGCTTCTATGGGAGAATATGATTAATAAGGCGTCTAGCAGCTCTGGGCTTCTGTTGGCCAACTGGAGGGCAATTTTGAGGGGCACTTTTCTTTGACCTAGATACAAGATTAGCAGTAGAACATACGCTGTGGCTGAGCCAGCTTGCTCCTGATTCCTCTTGATTCATCAGCCTCCCACACTTTTGTATGTAGCCAGGCTACAGCTTTGGATCTGGCAGGTTCACTGCAGCTTGGGCTCACTAAGCCCTACAGCAGGCTCTATAAACACTGACATTTAATTCTCTTAAGTGACCACTACTCTTCTCCCACTTACGAGTGGACTGCATATATTACAATAATATTTTCAGACCCATTCCCTATATCTGCACTTTTTCAAATACAGGCTTCCTAGGAACAGGAGGAAGGAGCTGCATTTGAGATGGGAGAAGGCACGAGTTGTGGTTGATTTAGGGATGGGGAGGTGACCTTAGAAGATCCTCTGTTTTTAAGGCCACACAGAAATGATTCATCCACTGATGCATCGTCAGTGCTGAATGAACCCATTTTTGCAATTTTTCTCCAGTTCTGCCCATCCATTACTGCAAACCATGTTCTTAAAGAGAGCTTACAGCTCTCTTAGCACTCATTCTTAGTGAGACACCTTTTTGTGGTTTCTGTAATGATCTTGGATCGTCCTCTTTTAGGATGGGCTGAAATGGGAAGGCTCCATCTTAGAGGAGTGTCCTGGCGATCTACCTGGATAGGAACTGCGTGAGTCAAAAGGAGTATATGGAGCATGAGAATCTGGAAATCATGAAAGAAGCAGCAAGAGTCATTCCATCCACCTACCTCCCCTTCTCCTGAACCGCCCTTCTTGTGTGGGGAGCAAGTAATAGCAACCAAAGGGAAATTGCTTGGAAACAAGTTGGGTACCAGTTAAAAAAAAAAACAAAACAACAACAACAAAACAAAACCAACAAGTTTTAAAGGCGCTCTGGCAATGCCTGGAACCCTCCTCCATGTGTTATCCAGGGTTTTCTGCACAGTGATGACATTTGGAAGTGTGGCTACCAGACTGAGTTACAAGTGAAGGGTGGGGTAATCACATGCTCTTGGTTTCTTTGCCATATTTAGCTGCATCCTTTCCAGACTGCCGCAGTTTACAGGCTCAGGTTTGGCAGCTGTGCCAAGAAACAAGCTGCTGGCCTGTGAGCCATGGGGTGGATGACTGCTGAGTGAGAACACATCCACCCGCTGCAGGCTGGGAGTGGGGAGGGAGCCCTGTGTGTAATAGCAGGAAAGTGGAGGTGGTGGTTTGGAGCTTTTTTTTTTTTTTTTCCTCTTTTTTTTTTCTCTTTTTTTTCTCTCGACCAAATCAGTGCTCTATCGATCACTAATTAGAATCAGCAGGGTCCAGATGGCCAGCCTCTTTAATGAGGCTAATTAGGGATCCAAATGTTTTCATATGATGCCTTTTTTTTTTTTCCTAGAAAGATAGAGTAGTGATGGAGATCTCACCTTCTGCTATAAGCACAGATCAGTGGCATAATTCTAGAGGTTTTAAAAGTAAAAGGTAAATGCAATAAGGTGAAAATAGCACAGGTTTTCAGCATGGGGGAGGCTTTGTGTTCTGCCTCAGTTCCCAAAGATCTCTTTTGATATCTACCCCCAAATACTTTCTCAAAAATAAAACCCTTTTCTTGGTAGGGTGACTCCAATTCACTTTCTCTTTTTTTTTTTCCCCTCTTTGGTGTGTGTGTGTGCTGCAGATTCTGCAGTCCTGAGTCATGGTCATGAGGAGAAGAGCTGTAACACGGTGATACAGAATTTCCAATCTCTAACCTGAGCAGACTGGTGAGTAGCTCCCGAGTTTTCCACCCTTGTTTTGCAGGTTCTCAATAGAGTGTCTAAGCAACTGCTGTTGGGTGTTTATTTGAACCAAAGGAGCTTCCTGAGCCTCTGTCCTCACCAGAGCTCCTTCTGTCTGCCCACCTGAGCTTCACAGGATGCCCATTTCTATGTTGCAGTGAGACCTGAAGACCTCTTCAATGCTTGCCATGTTCCTCTTCACAAGGCTCCCACAGAACATTTCCATTTTACAAATTGGGAATCAGGGAGAAGAAGGACTTTATGTATTGCTCAAAGGCATAAAATGAAGCAAAGAATCCCAACTCCAGGCTAACATTTGCTGCCAAATCAGTCTTCTTACTTACTGCCCTTCATGGTCATTAAGAAAGAAACCAGACTCCAGTTCTATCACGGGTCAGATATTTGCAACCTTTACTCTGATTAAGAAATACTTATTTACAAAGGCAACCACATTATTCTGATGTCAGTGGAGATGCCCGTATGAAAAACTCCCAGACCCACAGCCAGTTGTGGCTTTCAGAACATAGAATTTGTTTCAGTTCTGAACAGGTCTGCAAACTCAAAACGTTTTTGCTTTTGACCAATGAAACAATCCTTTTTTTTAATCCTCCTGTACATAAAATCATTGCTTTTTTTTTTTTTTTTTTTTTTTACAAAACACTTCTTAGTAATCTGAAGAGATGAAACCAGATTTCTCTTTTAGTATTCCCTAGAGCTATTCAAACTTTGTTTCTCTGCAGGCCTGCTCATCAGCGTGTGCACAGAGCAGCTCAGATCCCAGCTTGGATGCTTCAGGGTCACAGCCTTCATCAGGTGAGTGAGCTCCCTGTGTGGGAAATGGCAGGAGAGGGATGCCGTGCATTCCAAAATGTCTAAGGGTTATTTGGAAATGTACACGTCTGAGTGCACTGGACTGGATCAACCACAGACATTACGAGGTTTGCGGTGTGTCTGAGTGTAACAATAGCACCAGGAGTCTATATGAGATTTCCCGGACGTAGGGCTAATGCAGATCACATATCTTCCATTAAACACATGGCAGATCCAGGAAAGCTGCACTGGAGCTGTAGCACAGTGAGCTCCTCAGATGTGTAGGAAGCAATATCAGCGTTGCCCAAATGCATGACTTCATGGTGTTATGTACTTTTCACTGTTACCCGAAGCTGTGTGTAGGAAATTTCATTCTGAGCACTCACTCACTCACCCCTATGCCAGGAGGATGGGTCCCAGTCCCACTGAGGTCTATGCAGAGACCACAGCTGTCAGGAAATCCTGTGGTTCTTGCCAGAAGAGATCTCAGGGCTTTTATCTATCAAAAAGGACTGAGATAACAGTATTTAGAAGAGCTGGTGCTCTGAAAAATTGGTGGTAGAGAGAGCAGCTAAAAATGCCAATGTGTTTTGAGAAGTGATTGACCCAGGACCTGCTAGAAGCATTGCTGTAATTTTCTAGATTTTGTCAGGTGAGTGTCAGGAAATGTTTGTGGCAGTCAACCTTTTCCCCACATTCCTCAACAGACAAAATGGATAGAAAGAAGTGTCTATCTGGAGAGAAACCCTCTGACTGAGCAGAGAAGGGGAGACTGAATGCTCTCCTTGATGTGATAGAGGGGGACTTGCTTACACCTAGATTAGAAAATCAGGAATGAAGGTACATATTTCTTCGTTGAGTTTGATAAGCTCAAGCAAAACGTGTGTCTCATGAGTGGGACAGGCTGAAGCTCATAAGAAATGTCAGGATGGGTTGGATTTCTGACTGGATGAAGGCTGAGAGGGAACAGAGAAAGGCAGCCCACATGCCTAGGGTGCAGGAACACGTGGAGCCTGAGGGGAGCATAGGGCCATTCGAGGCGCAGGGTTTGTTGTTTGGATCCTCTCCTCCAGTTGAGCCTGGTTCTGCAGCACTGAGCAGATCATCTCCTGGAGTAGGGCTGCCTTGCAAGGATGTGCTTGGTGGAAAAGCTCAGTTCCCCCACCTGCTGCTGGCATTGCCTCACTTTGCCAGGCGATTTCTTCGTCTTTACAATGAATGAGAAAATGAAAAGCAATAGCCCTCCGTGTGCACCTGCACAAGGCAGGCACCTGCAAAGACAAAACAAGGTCTATCCTGTGACTTGCATCTGGCTGGGATCCAACAAAGCGATGCTTACACACTTTTGTTTCTGCAAAACTAAGCACATGCAGCAATAAGCTCTCTGATGACTGGCTGTGAAAGGCATATACAGGTTTGTTTCCCGTTTCCTTATCGCTGTCACTGCTCTGCATGTGCCATATAATAGAGGCATTTGCCAGCAGTAAGCCAACAGAACTTCCTGGAGCACACAGGGCCAAGGTTATCCCTGATACACCTTCTCTGGCTTCCCTCTGTGAAATCAATAGTCTTTCCACCTGGCTAAATTGGAACCATTTTTTCTCTTTGTTCAGTTAGTGAAAAGCATAGGGCATTGCATGAGGTTTTGCTGAAAAGTGAAGCGCAAATCCATCCTAATCTTCCATGAGAAACCTCACTGTTCTGCTCAGGGCTGCTCTGTCCTGACTGCCTGGGGCAGTCCTGTGGTATTGAAGGGGCAGATGTCACAGAGCTGGGCTGTTAGTGCCATGTGAAGCACCCCTGGAAAGCCAGATCTCATGTTATGCTTTCAAGAACAGACAGCCCATTTGGAAACTTTATTTTGTACCATAAAGTAAAATCAAGCTATAAAAATGGCCAGGATCTTCAAGAAACTTAAAATCTATCTATGCTGTACTGTATAACACATGAAGCAGCAATGATCCGTGCTCTGAGCAATCTCCAGACACAGGTGTTGTGGTACAAGCAGCTACAAGATATACAAGATACCTTCAAGAATGCTGCTAATTCACACGATCTTGAGTATCTTAATGTTGGCTTCACTTGGTTCTTACCCCATGCCTGCTCACCAAGCTCCTGTTGCATCGTCTCTGTGCAGGCTGTAAGGCTGGCAGTGGGAGCACAGCCAGATGCCTCTCAGCTTTTGGGCTGCCTTTGTCATGGCAGTGATGAAGTGATTGCAGGGGTGGTTGCTGTGCTGCTTGTCGAGCATCTCTCTCTATCTGAGAAGCAGGCACTGATGGCACATACATTTACCAGTATCAGTGCAAGAGTCCCTTCTTTGCTGAAGATCCCTGGGGAAATTAAAAACCCAAAGGCATGTAAAAGAGACCAACGGAATAAATCAACCAAAGACATGGAGACAGGGTGAAGGAGAGTGAAACTTGGTTGAAATGAGCATGGGAAAGCTGGCTCACATGCTGTGATCAGCTACAGACCCTTCCTTGGCCTTGTGGGAGTTCTTCTGTTACCGCTGGCTGCCCTCATCAGTCATTTCCAAACTGGGTTTGTTGGCAGTCTGAGGGAGGGAGGCAGGTAACCATTCACCTTTATGGAGATGAGGATGCTTTAGCCGACTTGGAATCTTACCCTGAGCGACTCCCCCAGGTCTTGCACTGAAGCCAGCTCTCCTGAATGCCTGGTACGTTACCTGGTTATACAGCTGGGAATGTTCCAAGAAATGCATTGTTTGGGATTTGTATGCTTTCCTTTTTTCCCCCTCGCTCAGAAATGCTGATGTGCTGAAATCAAAACTTGACGAGAGGAAGGAGAGATTCTCAGAAATTTCTTAGTGGAGCCATTTGGGGCCGGAGAGCAGAGGAGCTGTTACTGAAACGGTTGAAAGAGTCTGCATGAATAATTTCCAAAGTGGGATATTAATTGCAGGGACTTTTCACTTTGAAATGCAGATTGACTACCGAATTGCTCAGCTCCTGCCCTGTGAGTTTCTGGAAATGGCATCTACTCGAAGAGGTCCATATAGTGAGCAAAAACACATCATCTGTTATCAGCTTGGAAACTGGATCATGTCAAGAGCTTCCCAGCCCAGAAAGTCTGCCTAGTGCTGTGCCGGGTGCCCCAGAGGGAAGGCAGGGAGTCCTGGGTACGGAGCTGTGCATCGCTGTGCTCCACAAAGCTCTCAGCCTTCAGAAAGAAAACCAGCAGCTCTTACACTGTTGGGCTAAAAACCATCCTGGCTCAATAGAAATGGGATGAAATATGCTGTTTTACAGTAGCGGAGGCTCTAATTCAGTAATTTTTCATACCTGCAGTAGATTAAAGCTTTTCCCTGCTAAGCAAATCCTTCCTTGTTATACAAAGGGAATATATGGGCCAAAGTTTCAAATCCTCTTAGAGCATGCTCAGTTCACAGTAATTGTAATTAGAGTTTGACATTCAAATCCCTTAGGCAGCTTTGGAAATTGCAAAGCGGTCGCACCACTGGAGCCCTAATTAAAAGCTCAGTTATCCAACTGGAAATCAGAGCAGTGGTTCCATGACAGCGCTCCTAGAGCATAGTTTGTTTTACAAACCTGCACAAATCTAATTGCATCTCCTGCGCAATGGAATACATGATCCATTTGCTAGCAATATTTCCAGCAAATGTCAGAGAGGTTTGTTATTTTTTATAGAAGGAAAACTTCAAGTCTCAATTTTTAACAATAAAATCTGTTTTAGTGAGTTTCCCTGCTGCCAAATTAATGCTGAGTGTGCTTTGTTTTGCTTCTCTGTTTGCTCCTATGTGTCTAAGTTTCCTATTAGAGAAAGAGGGGGTGGAGAGGGGAGAAAGCAGGGAGGGAATTTTGGTTTTGTCCAATAAAGCGATGAGTCCTAAGGATAGGTAGAAATGAAGAATTTGTTCTCCAGGGTGCCGCAGAAGATGTTCCTTTAGATTTACAACAGTAAAAGAGAAGGAAAAATTATGTTCTATCAAATTCCATCCAGTTCCATAAAATTTATTTAAAGTAGAGTAAATGAAAAAATAAATACTTCGTTAGACTACCCTAGAGTCTATTATATGCAAGTAATTGAAGGAAAAGTTCAGAGCAAAGTCTGGAGTAGTTATTAATCCCATAGCTTACCCTCTTCAGCATGAGCTCTTGGCTCCCTTCCCGCTGAACGACTGGGACCAGGCTTTGACAGAAACATGGCATAGGAAAATATTCAGATGTCTTGTTTTCTGGAGAAAATCACACATCTGAAAAAAAGAAAGAAAAAAAGAAAGCATGACAGATTTTTATCTTTACTTAAAACTAAATTCCATTAGAACTCTCAAAGAGTTGCATTTAGGAAGACCACCTAGGCTTTTCTTGGGATAATATTGCAGATGCCTTGTTTGTAGCATGTGATGGGCTCCCTGAGTGCTCACCCCTCCTGTGATGCCCCTTTGTAAGGTGGGAGGCCGCTGCTTGTTAGGAGGAAAGCAATGGGACAAGGTGTGTTGGAGAATTCCTCGTTACATTGGTGTTACCAACAGACACTGGCCTCTCTTGCTCCTCTAAATGAAACTCTGCATTCACACACAGTATTGTGAAGTCAGCACATCCAACTCATTGGGCTGGAAAAAACGTCCTACTTTGTCATATGTTTTTTGCTCATACTTTTATTTTGTTATTTTGAACTTCTCTGGAGTTTCTATGTCATATAAATAACCTATTACACGTTTTGCAGCTTCAACACTTTTGTTTTCATATGAGCTTCATGAAAACAAGCTATTTTGGAGGATCTTTGAATTTTCCTCCATTTCTACTGGATTTAGTAGTTTTTGCTTCCTGTCCTAAGCTGTCCCAGAGCGGCCACCCATTAGAAGCCCTGCAGTGAGAGGCTTGGCAGTGCAAAGCAGTTAGGTTTCTTCTGGATGAAAAGCATGGTATAAACGTGTGATCATTACCCTATAACATACTCTTTTATAACTGCATTTTTACAGTCCCTGGCAGGGACTCTGTGCCATTATTTTTTTGTTTCTACCGACAGTGGAGAGAGGGGCGCTGACAATTTGTGTACATGTGTTCCTCATGTGCCTGTGTACTGTTTCAGTGCTGGAGCATTTCTGGATGAGGACCAGAATTTACTAATTATCACTTTAACCGCTATCCACAAAGAAGGGGGCGAGGGGGTGAAACCTCCAAAGAAAATAGTTAAAATCTTATTACTGATGCTTCGACAGGGCTGCCTTGTGTTGACAGGAAGAGATTCCTGCTGTGAAAGAGAAAGAAAGCTATGATGTCTTTTTCAAGGGAGGAGGAACTGCCTTTTTCTGCACAACAGTTTTATTGACGTCGTCACAGAAGCAGATTTATACTCCAGAAAAGTGCATTATAGGGGAATGGGACTGGAACAGACCAAGAGAGCAGCGCTCACACCTTGCGCTGAGTCGTAACTCACAGCTGGACCTCACGTTCAGCAAATGCACCGACCATGTGGCCCAAAGAGAGGAAAACTTGACATGAAAATACCTGTTAAAAGTCAGATTTGGAAAGTTCTGAGCAGGGCAAAAGGCTGCTTTCTCTCACCTCTCCCACAGCTCTGTGTAACTTTCCCTTCGTCTTTTGCAGCTCCACCAGCAGAAGCCTTGTCAGCTCCTGAGCCAACATCCAAATGCTTTCCTAACGCTTGGCTACCTTAGAGAACAGCAATGCTGAACCCTGAGAAGCAATCGAAGGTAATCTATCAGGTGCTGCCTGACGTTGGGCTGGCACAGAGCTCTTTTACCGAGCTCTGGTTAAACGGAGATGGCATTTGCTGGTTTTAGCCTCCATTCCATGCCCTGGTATTACCACCAGAAGCTGTTATCTGCCTATCGTCACTACCCCACACACTTCATAACTCCCGCACCAAATCCTACCTCCAGCTTCCCAGCCTGCCCTGGGACGTAGGGCTGGAAAAAGCATTTGCCAGTCAGCTCAGGAAGTCTTTAAAAGGTGAAAAAAAAAGGTTAAAGAAATGAGGTCTCCTTCTCCCCTCTTGTTGCCTTTCTTTTTCTCTTTTCTCTTTCTCTTTTTTTTTTTTTTTTTTTAATTACCAGCTGTGGGCTCTCAGTCTTTACCTGTCTGGTGTTGAGACCCATCCAACTCAGGAACTGACTGGGGATTTGGGGAACAACAAAGCAAATCTTGCAGGAAAATAGTGCCTGAGAGCTGTGTGATTTAAGGGCACTCCTTTCTGCTGGCACTGTGGCATAGGGCAGTGTCACCATCATGTGGGACATAGGTGGTCCCCTCCCCCTATCCCCAGGGTCCTTGTCCCAGTGCTGCAGCTCAGCAGTCACAGCTCTTGCTACACCCATCGTACAAGCAGTTCTTTCCCCTCCTTTCTGGGTATTGCTGGCAATAATGGCAGCTGCTTGCTTACCTCTTCTGAAGAAGCTCAGAGACAGCAACAGCGAAGAGTGGGCATGTTTACCTTAAAAATCCCAGGAGATGGGCATGTAAAGGTAAAGCATCTGACTGGGACCTTTTAAAAGCCTTCTCACACTGCAGGCTAACAACAGCAACCCGCTTGCAACCCACGTGAAGTCAGAACTTCATGTCACAGCACATCCAGGGACGTCCCAGTGCAGAATGCTCTCCTGCTCAAATATTCACAGACAACATTTCTTTGTAAGTCCTTTCAGCAATGCAGTGGCATTTGAAGAGTCATCATCTCTCCCTTTGCAAACAAACCTGGGCTTATCAAACAGACGCTGTACGTTTGTGACTTCTTTCCCTTCCGGGACGACCCACATTGCTGCAACAAGGCCAGCCCTGGAGACAGCAGGGGCATAAAGCACTTCTCTGCACACTGAGCAACGTTGTCATGAAACATGGGGCTGCTTCTACACCAGGATGTTTTATTCTGTGCAGATTAAGGCTGGTGGTTGGCACTTTAAGCAGTGCTTTGGTTGTCCATGCTTTGTGCTGCAGCTTTCCTTCAGTGACACATTACTGCTGTGCAACCTGACATTGTGTTTCAGTACATCTCCTCTCTGAGCTGCATGGATTCAGTTTTTGGGAGGGTTTCTGTCCCATTCTTCTCATATTAATTGGCCTGTTTGCTATCTATTCTATTAAACTATGAATAAAAGTTCACCTTTCCCACAACCAAGACAAATTTTACTCTAACTGAGCACAGCAGGGAGCTGTAGCACACCTCACTGGCCTTATCACTGCAGCCAGGCAGTGATTTGCAGCCAACAGCCCAGGAACTCAGAGTAAAACAAGAACTAGAGAGATGGGCATCTCCTCCTGGATCCCAAAGGAGTCTGCTTTGAGTTTTGGAGGGCTCCTGTGATGCAGTCAGACAATCAGTTTCTGACCAATAAACAGCAGAAACACAAATTCACATTCTTTGCGTCTCATAAAACAATAAAAGACAATTGCTAGCTTGGAAATTCAGATCTCCCATGTACTTTGGTGAATGGAAATTGAGACTCCAAATTGCTTATTGTTAACCACAATGTGCTGGGCTGCTTCTGCGTTTTACCCTTGATCCCCTTCCCACTCCTGCTATGACATCTTTGCTTTTTCTTACCAGTCTTTCAACCATGAACCCCGAGTCATCATCAGGTTTGTGTTTCAACCTCAGGTCTCCTGCCCATTCTCTTACTCATATAAAATGGTGCAATTAATTTATTGCAGTCTCGCCACAGTTGTTTTATTCATCATAACCATAAAGCTCCTGTGAAGTACGCCCAAGAGAGGCAATATCATTTTAACAAAACTGTCCTGATGAAAGAAAGCTGAGAACCCAGGGAGAAACAGCAAGCTTATATACCTAGAGTGTGTTTCTGAGATAATATTTCTTCCACTAAAACATTATTTCATATGATAATGAGTATACAGCCTGTTCAGTGAAGAAGCCACACAATAAACAGATGTGGAAAAAATCACAGAGAAAAAACACCATCAGCAGACACCAGAATTAAGCTGAGGAAGTTATGGCAAATTCATTGAGAGATCCACTTTTATCTGGTGAATGGGTTTGGGATGAAAATGTAACTGTCTTGAAAGTGTGTGTATATCCAGCGTAGAAATGATTGGGGCCTGAAATAGGTCCTGAAATGCAGCCATGATGGATGCTGAGCATGTGCCCATACTCAGAGGGCTTGTTGTAGAGCTCAGGAACAGCTGGAGGGCTATGGATCATAGAATCGTAGAATTGTCTGAGTTGGAAGGGACCCTGAAAGATCATCCAGTCCTCCTAATCAATGAACAGAGACATCTACAGCTTGATCAGGTGTTCAGAGCATGGCCCAGCCTCACCTTTAATCAGAACTCTGACTTGTTTTGTGGTTTTTCAATCAACTGAGGCAAACAGAGGTGTGCTGGCTACTCCTGATGATATTTAAGGACATAAAGGAAAAAAGAGTCAGATCAGCCTTACATGTCAGCAAGCTGTTTTGAGGTTTGTTAGCCCTTTTGAATCTGAGCAACATTTAATTTTGGATTGATTGGATTAAGATTGCTAGAAGAACTTTGACATATGTAACTGCGTAGTATGGGCTGTAGGCATGCAACTAGTTTGAATTTTGCTGCCTGAAGTGGTAGGGGCATGCAAGTCTAGGTCTTGGTCTACAATCTGTCTCACCCAATGATTTTTTAGTGCCAAGCTGAAATGAATTCTACACTTCACTTGTTATTCTAAATCTTTTCAGTCAATACTTGGAAGCCACTGAAGTTCCATTGGTCTGAGCAACTGACAAATACCTGCCATTCTGCCTCCAGCCTATCTGCATACCCAGTAAATTACATTGTATTTCATTTCAACGCTACACAGAACACTAAAAGAGTCTGCACATAAAAAAAATCCCAACAACAATAATAACAACGAGCTGAGATACAAAACCAGCCTGTCTCTCTATGACATAGTGCCATGAGGATCCCAGACTGCTGTTAAGAAAATATAGCTCATACACGTCGTGCCCCTGCCCAGCTATGTTTCATCTGCCAGGGGATGTTGAAATTGTGCCTTCCTGGCGCTGCCTTTATTTACCACAGTGGCATTGACTTCATGTGCTGGGGCCCTTTCCATTTGGGTTGCCTCAGCCAAGGTCATCATTGCGTAAAGCATGAGCCCACAAATAGCAATTTCTTGCTATTTCTGAGGAGAATTACTAGTTCTGTTTGCATCAAGGACGGTGAGGAATCCCTGCTACACTTGGGACGTGGCAGAGCTGACTTAGTCAAAGTTTCTTGGATTAAGCAGTAAGAAGAAAATAAGAGCTAGAGAGATGAGTCACTGCTGAGTGAAACGTACTCTGTAGCTCCTCGTGGAAAGCAACCTTTCTTAAAAATCCTAGGTTGTGTCTCTATATACTTTCTTCTATATTGATATAGGCATGTGAGAACATACTGGTCTGTATAAACACACAAAGAAAGATTCAAGTGCACGTGCATCCAGAAGTGCGTGTCTATAAAGGTATTATACACAGTTCTGGAAGAGGTGAGTGTGTGTTCCTAGGCCATAAAACCAAAATCTACTGAAGGAATCACACAGCATACCAACACATGCCTCTTTTGTGCCTACGCTGCAAAAAAATTAATACTTTAGGAAAATAAATGATCACGAAGAAACGAACCTCTGTGTAAAAGCTGAGGCACCTCGGATTGAGGATGTGAGGGTGTTTCAGTGCATCTGCTCCTAATGAAATCGTGAAGCAGATGTTCTGCTCACCTTCAGTCTCATGCACAGGGCAGTGCAGAAGCTCAAAGACATCTCATGTCAAGATTTACAGACTAGGAGTATTTCTTCACTCTGCAAAAATGACACTGTATGGATCCTATCAGCTGCTGAGGCTGCGTTTACACATTAGTGCAGCTTTCACCGTTTTGGCATTATCGAAATGGCCTAGAAAAGCACTGCCAAGTACAAATCTGTAGACTGGATGTAGCACTGATGAAAAGGATATGGTCATTTGTCATCTTTCGCTTTCCCAATAGCTGATTCATCATCTCCGTTGATTTCTTGGGCATATCCATCAATGAAAGTGAGATATTTCAGCCAGTCCTCTTAAGTGCTCATGGAAGAAGTCCAGACATTAGAAAATCTCTCACTTCTCCAGGTACTCTCTGAACTGTGCTTTCCCTGTACTGGGGATTTGTCTCAGGTACAGGCTGTACACAAGAGCATTGGCTGCTGCAGAGCTGATCTTTATTCCCAGGCTGGCTTACGCACTGCGATGTCTCTCCAAATTTCTTACCTGAAAATACCCCGCTGTTCCACACTGCTTAGGGAGCAGCACAGACATCGATCACTATACCTAAATAACATTGATCCTGAAGGCATCAACTGTTGATCCTTTCTTACCAGGGCTGCTTTGAATTTGGAAGTTACGAGGCAACAGGATAAGAAGCAAGAAAACGTTTTCAGAAACAGTGTCCTACTTGCAGTGTGATTTGGTTTCTCATGCTTTACTATGCCTAATTAAGGTTTTACGAGATGCTGCAAAGCCCCATCACTCTCCACTCCCTGTGAAGCCTCTCCTGCAACGGTCACCACACGACAAAGAGACAGGTCCCTGTAAAACACAGCTGCAAACCATACAGACAATTTACGGGTCTTAGAGATCGCGTTTGTGCAGAGGTCCTGCAGAAGGGAGATCCTGAATGTTGGACCCTGTTGGTGGAATGTCATTAATCAGAGGATAACGGACAGGAAGGTGGGTGGTTGCTTGATAGTTTTGGCTCATTTAAGACAGTTTTGGAAGGCTGCCAGATTGTGTGGAGGATTTTTGAAATGTTTTAAACAATACCGGCTTTACAGTGTCATAAAATGGTGGGGTGGCTCGAGGTTTCCAACTGGCTTCTGGCCAGTGCAACCTCAGGATTCCACTCAGCTGTGACCTGGGCTCCTGGGTGCCTACAGTGTCCCAGGTCACTCCTTGCCCCCTCCCTTGGGTTTCTGCACTGTTAGAAGGGAGAAAATGTCTGTGATGCCCCAACTTCTGCTGAACCTCAGCGCTCTTCTCATAACAAGCTTTGCTACTGCAGCTATTTCTCCTTTAGTGTTCATGGAGAGCTTCTGCTCTTCATGCAAAGATGGCATGTTGTGTGATACTGAAATAAAGCGGTGCATTTATAAACAGGTAGGGCTAAATCTTAAAGGGAGGGTTAAATCTTCCATCATATTTTCAGCTGGGTACCAAAATCTGTCTTGCCAGGAAGGGAAATGCTGTGTCACGAAGAGCAGACAGATGCTTGTAGGGACATAAAGAACATGCAATACAGGGTTTAGAGTTCTCTTAGGTAGAGAAATATTCTTGGTGTTGGGCTTCTGCTTTGTTGCTTCTTCTTTGCTGCCCAGTGCTTCATACCCACTGGTGCTCCATGTGCATTGGTGGCAGCAGCTGTGCTGTGTGGATCATCAGTAGGCCTACAATCGTATGGTTTGTAAATAATTATGGTGCCTGTTGCTGTTGGGTGCTACTTGATCACACAAAGTGAACTAATTGTATTCACATGAACTAATGCTGTTAGTGGCAGAGCAGGCTCTTTATCCCTATCCACAGGAGGTAGTCACACTTCCATTAAAATTAGAGAAACTTTTCTGTGCTCTCCTGAGAGCTGTAACACTGAAGTCTTTCAGCTTTTTTTAAGAGTAAAAGTTTCCCATACTGGTAAAAGTGGTATTATTTCATCTTATTCATTTAATATTTTTTGTTTTAATCTTATGTTAGTAAA